CAATGATTCATTTATTGCTCGTGTTCATCTGCGTGTTCCAAGTTTTCCGGCTTCCGCGATTTATCTTTTTATTTCACCTTTATATGTTATGGTTTATTTTACGATACAGGGAATCTCGAGCGTAGATTTAAGTTTCAGCAAAAAAAAAAGAGAGAGAGAAGGGAGAGGCTACGAGCCGAAGTAACCCGGCAAACTGCCAAAGAAGAGGGTTACTGGGAATGACTCTGCATCGATAGGATGCAGAGTTGTTCTCGTTGCTACTTTGTCACTGTGCTCGCTTACATGTAGCATTTTGTAGAATGTATTTCAGCTGGAACTGGACATCGCCCACCCTCACACCCCTGTCGCGATTTTAATTAGCGTTGCGACTGATTGATCACGGTTTGCGTTAGCGTTGCGAGAAATTTACACGCGATTTGTAGCAGAGTTGCGAAAAATCCAGCCGCGATTTGCATCAGAGTTGCGAATCAACTGAGATCGCGTTTTGAATTAGAGTTGCGAATTGATCGAGTATCGCGTTTTAAGTTAGAGTTGCGAAGAAATGCTACTCGCGATTGCTCTTGTGTATTGAATTTTTATACTTGGAATCTTTATTCAATGGTAATGCTTTTAAAGTAAAGTTACATTTTTTTTCCTTTTTTTCAGGGTAAATTCATTTTATTTATTCAGAGTCGATTTACTCCATCTGTAATTTTAACGATAGCGTTGCGTAAACGAATAAACGCGTTTTGTCTTTTATTAGTGTTGCGACGAAATACCCAAATTTTTCAGGAGTCGCTGAAAGAGCTGCTATTGCCCAAAGCGCCCTAACGTGGCTGCTCTCGCGTTTAACGGTAACTTTTTTTTTATCTTTTTTTTTCGTAAATTCAGATTGCAAGTAAAACGAAGCACTCGCCGCGATTGATTCTGAGACTCTTTTTATTTCATACATTTAACAGATTAGTGTTGCGGAAGAATTATTCCACTCTCGGTGTTTGCTCGGGTTTAGAACGAGTGGATTATGAAATCTACCGAGTGTTTGTCATGAAATACTGTTTAATTATAATCATTGAATTGCTATAACAGATATTTACTAATGTTTACGATATTACATATGTAATATCGACGATGATTTATTTTTAAAGATGTAACAATGAGTTTGAGATGTTGAGAATTTCAAATTGAATCGGAATATATCAGGGGAAGAATTAATAATGAATGAAAGTACAAGTAGAAGCTCGGTGAATTCTTGAAAAGAAAAAGAAAAAAATAAGAATTAATTGTTATTAGAGTTATTTTACTTTTCTCGCTACGTAAGATTCATCCGTCGGTAATATTTGCAAATTTACATACCGACTGATGCAACAGTAGAGTGTAGTGAATTTTTATAAATTTTCGAAATAGCTTTGCACGAATTAAAGTGCACTCGCGATTATACTTTTCATATTGTGAGTATGACATGAAAAGCTTGCAAAGAAACATTGTTACGTGGAAAGTAGTTGGCTCGTAATATTCATAGTAAAATGTTTGTTTCATCGGTACGACATCGCATACTCGTTGCTAATTGAAAAAATGATAATATAGATAAAATTGCGGTAAACTGTGCGATTATTTCGGTTTTAAATTCCTAATGAAGAGTAAATTGGAACATCTCTCCACGTTTTCTTCGGTGAAAATAGTAACTTCTAAATGAATCGTGCACAATTTTAGTCTCTTTTTTTTTCATCTTGGTATTCGGTATAGGAATTTTTCAGTTTATACGTTACAATTACCGTTTATTCCCAGTTTTCATTTTACAATTCTTCCTTTGATTTGTTATCAATGTGCACCAAGTAATTGCTAACAATGTAAAGTACCTTTCAATTTTTTTAATATCACTTTCATTTCAACGAATACGTAAAAATATATGTACGATGTGTGCACAATGTCTTTTTTTTTTTGGCTGCTAAACCTTCATTTTTAATTATTATTATCGAGGCTGTTGGGTGTAAGCTGTGTCCTTATGGAAACAGTACTCCATTCCCCAATAATAATAATTATCAATATTTTATACGTATATGTGTACAATATCTTTTTTTTCAGCTGTTAAACTTTCATTAATCCAAGAAAAAACGAGTTTGTTACAGATTCGCGAAAACTGGGGAAATTATTGGAAGAAAAGAAGTAAACGATGCCTATGTTGTAACTTGTAAAATCTGATTACTAAATTTGTTTGAATTTGAGTTTGTTGCAGGTGACAGAGGAGCAAACGAGCAGTTCATCTTATCACACTGATATTTCTCTTATATCCCTTTAGATTTTCAGAATAGGCAGGGTACAATATAGATTTTTAATTAGGTAGGTTGTTCTTCAAACGAACGTGGAGTTTTCATTAGCCGCGTTATTTTCAACATTAAGTTGATTCTTGATTAGGCCGGACATTTTCACCATTAAGTTGACTCTTGGTTAAGCAGGACATTTTCACCATTAAGTTGATTCTCGATTAAGCAGGAAATTTTTAAGTTAAGTTAAATCATCAGATGGGAAGGACATTATTGACGTTAAGTTAAATTCCTAATGAAGTAGGTGATTCTTAATTTAAGTTAAATCATTAGACAGGAAGGCGATTATATACATTAAGTTAAATTCCTAGTCAGGCAGGCCATTCTTAATTTAAGTTAAATCTTTAGACAGGCAGGCGTTCCTCTACGTTAAGTTAGATTCTTGATCAGGCAGGCCATTCTTAATTTAAGTTAAATCTTTAGACAGGCAGGCGTTTCTCTACGTTAAGTTAGATTCTTAATCAGGAAGGCGATTCTTAATTTAAGTTAAATGTTTAGACAGGCAGGCGTTTCTCTACGTTAAGTTAGATTCTTAGTCAGGTAGGCGATTTTTAAGTTAAGTAAGAATTTTATTTAAGTAGGATAATATATAAGATTTAACATTTAGGTAAGCAAGTTTTTTGGGAAAATTCAGTGCTCGAGTTACATGTTGTTGTTTAAGACGATAGCTCTCAGTTTGTGAATATTGCAATTTTTTTCCTTTCGTTGGTTATATGTAAACAATTTCGAACAGAAACGCCTGATGTTTTTTCCGAGATAGCCTTGTGCAGTCAATCCCTTAACTGTCGTGTTTTTTTGCGACACGTGTTTGTTTATATTTTCTTCTTTTGTATTTCAAATATTTCACGAGTCAGATTCCTGCTTCACATATTCTCGTGTAGTGATAAAAATACAGAGTGAATTAACGTCTCGTATAGAATTAAGGCTTTTAGTTTAAGTCAGGTTTAAGTTAACTCCTAGTTTAAGTAGAGTGTGAATGAACTTAGACTATAAGCTAGGCGTAAGATAAGTTAAGCTAAACTTAAAGTACTTTAAGTTTAAATCTATAGGTTACTTTTTTTTTGTATTTTTTTCTTTTTCTCTCGTCGACTTTCTTTTTAACTTAGAATTCTTTCAGTCTTCTGCTATTGTCCGCCTGCATAGCGATCGAAAATCCGAACGTATTGCAGATATACAATGAGTAGGAGGCGTTGCGTTGCATTAACGAGTAGAAAAGAAATAGTAGGCGCGTAAAAGGAGGGTGGATGGGACCGTGTGGTTAGGGCGGGCCTCCATTCGCAGCAACCTCCACGTGGTGAGGCCTGGGCAATCAGTATTATTTGATATACAATTACAATTGTATAACAAATAATAGGAGCAAATCGGCTGCCACAGTACTATGAGGTAAATTATAAGAAATGTAGTACTACATAGATCGAAAAGTCGTCGATAGTTCTATCCACGCAATTCAATGTAAATACATGTGTGTGTATCTTCGTATGCAGATTTAATAAAAGAGGATCTTTTACATCTGTCGACTTTACCATCTTTGATGGTTCTCTTCCATACCATTCCTAAACTCCCCGCTCTGTGTCGTAGAGAGCATAACTGAACCTTTGACTTTTTACGTGATCGGTATTTCAGAACGTTGGACACAAGGATACATTAGGTGTTAAGTCTATTCTGCATAGTGGTAAAAATTTTGCAAAATTTTACTAGTTAATATTGGCGTATTAGGTAATGCCTTTTTGTATCCAAGTTCTGAAACTGCTGAAATTTTTTTTGACGACGTCTAACAACGATTGATGCGGTGTGCAATCGATATGCGAACCTTCGTTTAATAGAATTCAATACGATTAATTTTAAGGAGAAATTTACTTCGTACGCTCATCTCCATGTAGCGGGACAGTAGATAACAAAACTGCCTTATCATACTAGCATAGGCGACACACGTGAATAGGTTATGGCGTCGTCGTCATTTAGATCGAATTCAATCACAGTGAAAAGGTGTTTTTTTTTTTTTTTTTTTTTTTTTTAAATAAAAAATAATGTTGTTCACGTGGAATATTTGACTGTCGGTGGTAATATCTGCTGCCCTCTTTAAAGTTGCCACGGAAACGTTCTTGAGATGCATAAAATCAATAGAAGCTGTTGCTGTATTTAAATAGCCAATGCGGTTCTACAGGGGATTGGATGTGCGAGTAGCATTGAATAATAAAACAGAATTTAGATATGTATGCCTGTATTTCACGTGTACTTCTTACGTTTTAACACTTAGTGATATTAGGCGAAGTTGCACAACCGTTCTGTGGACATGCATCGCGTCAATTGTATAATGACCATACAAAATTACTGTTGATTTTTGCTTCAAACCATTCGAACATTCGATCGTATGATTTGCAAAAAGAAGGAAAGAAAAACGTAAAATCGATAAAACAGTTGGACGAGAAATGCGAATTGCTTTCCACCGCGATTCGCATTTGCACGAACGGAACGTAGTCAAGTTGGAATGTCAAGATTCGCTATAAGTCGAATTCACAAACGAACGTAACCGTTAGAAACAGTAATGATTGTACAGCATCGTTTTTATTCTATCCACCTATGGAGTTTTCTACGAAAATAGCCAACTACGTTTTAAGTCGAGTACGATACAATTTCGCGAATTTTTCAACTACCTAACAAACTATCGCACGTAGCGTAACATTATATGTACGTCGTAATTGCTAATGTTGGGTTACTCACGGTTCGGTTTTTTCACATATCACGAGATGTATAAAATTGCGTAGAAATGGGGCAAAAATGTAAAGAAGAAAAAACAGTTGGTTTAAACAGCTTTTATCGCGACGATAACGATTTGAAGTATGAATTGAAAATGATCTTTCGACATAATAATTTACACAAGGGAATAAAGTATCCCGCTGTTGACAAACGTATCTTTCAGACAACGTATTATATAAAAGTGTAACACTTTACAGCACGTACGTATGTAAATATTGAATTATATACTTGACACGCAGCTCAAATGCCGTGTAAATTATACGAAAATCTCGACGATGAACATGCTAAGTGGATACATACTTTTACAATGTACGCATCAACGTATGTATGTTCCTAATATCGAATTCCGCTATCTCGTCAAGTCAAGATCATTTTTTTCCCCCCTACATACTAATTTGAAGAGAAAGAAATGTTAATTGGCGTTAAAACATGATCTCTCCTTAAACAATAACAGTGCAAGAAGCGATATTAAGATGAAAAGTACGATTAGTACATCCTATGTTACCTCTAACCGTAAATCTACGCTTTGTATAATGTTTCGGCGCAAAAATGAATTTCAAGTGATCGAACGAAAAAAAAATAGCCCAGCTATTTAACAATGGGAATTACGTGTGGATTATCGGTATTGCGAGTAAAACTCACAATTGGACGTGGTTCGAAAAGAAAAGGTTTTGGTACAACGCACGTTCACGCGGTATAAGTAGAGTAATAGGAAATTTTTGTACGATATGTGTGAGAGAATTGGCACGGATACACACGTATTATACAAAAGGGTTGGAAAAATTGTTCCCACTTGTTGGCCGTGAACTGAAACTCTTTCTTCCCATCGATTTATCGATCCTCCCGAGCACCGCTCGACATCGACTGTTCCAAGGAGGACGTAAAACGTGTTGGAAAGATCACCAGGTATACAATATCACGTATACAATACCGCGTATTTTATGATGGACATATTCGCCGTGGTATTTGCAAAATATCGGTAAGCGTATTCGGTACGGGTCTTGTCACAGAAGAAACGGAAGATATCGTTGTTGAAAATTAGTCGGGATTGGTAGGATCGGTGGAAGTGGTCGGTATAAAGAATATTTCTTGGGACGATTCGATCCATCGGAGTTGGGCGAACATAGATTTACTTCTATTGGTTAATTTTCTTGGGTTGGCCGTTATTCGACAAATGCTTCCAGAGACCGGTAATTAATGGCACGTCACGGAAGCTATCGGCCGAAGGCTACGCCTGCTACGAGCACATCAAATCCACCGATCTCGATTCACCCCAAGCATTTTGGATTTTAAAGCCCGTCGTTGGCCTCGGTACAACGTGATGGGACGCAGACGTTGTGCTATGCCTCAGAGTTGTCATGGGAATACTAGTAGCGTTGTTCTTCTTCTTCTGCATCTTCTTACCGTCTTCCTCTTCGAAGCAGACCTGAAAATATTATCGCGATAACGATATACATCGATCTGCTGGTATCTACGTTTCAACTGACCAACTTACCCATGAATTTCCCGCTGATTTATTATCGTTCGATAGATCGATCAGAAGATTCTTTTGAGCATCGTTCGTGGTACATCGTTGAGCGTTGTCTTTATTCTGTTGGTTAACTTTTCCCACGGATTTCGTGTCGTCGTCTTCCTTTTTCTTTTTCTCGTTGTTTTCTTTAACAGAGAGAGAGAGAGAGAGAGAGAATAAAATACGCGTAGTTATCTCGGCGGCGAGCAGTTCATAGGTATGTAGGTTAGTATTAACGAGACCGAATAAACAAGAAACAGAGCTAGTCAAATCCCATTTACGTAAATCACGAAATGGAACCTCTCATCGCAGCTGTGCGATACGGTTTCCTAGATACACTTTCATTATCGACCCACGTGTATACGCGAACGAACGTCCAAGAGTCTCTGTAACATGGAAATAGAAGCATCCCCTGCACAAACATTGATTTCTAGTGTGCCGCTAATTGGTAGCTTGGAGTCATTTCGTGGCTCTAAACTATGAACCGGAGTCGCCTCGTTAATTACCGATGCGTTAATTACCGATTTGCCCTGTCGCGACAGCAGCTATCCGATGGCAACCAGCATCATGCGCGCGTTGGAACATTGGCGAAAGATCACTTGGGTGGTGCCTTTGAATCTCATATTAATACGCGCATTCATTCCGCGAGTGATTCGAGCCGATCGATCCGCGTGCATCATTGACACAACTTGGAAATTGTAAAGCTCTTTGGGAACTTAAAAAGCACTCGTTGGAACGCTTGATTAGAACTGCGTCTTTAGTCTCTAGTTCCAATAGAAATCTCTCATGGATAGCCTGTAGAATTTTCTAATTTAACGGTGCAATTCGTTTAATTCGTTTAATTCGTACGTTGGAAATAATGGCAGAACACACGAGTTGTAATTGTTCCAGTTTTCCGTAGTATTGCAGTTGAGTGTGCACGAGGTCCAATATTACCGGACAATTTCCTACGGTGCACTCGTAACATTCTCCGAGGCTCTCCGCAATATCCGCACTCTCGGCGAGTTAAGTGCACGACCACATACATAGCTATTGCGTCGAGCGCACGATGTACCTTTATCGTGGATCAAACGGCTCAAGATTAAAGCCTGCTTCTGCTTTTTCGTTTACCGCATTTCATAATTCGATTCACCGTTCAGTTATCCCCCTCGCTTAAAGACACGAACGATCGAGCGTGTGAAAGGAAGGAAAGCTCGGTATTGTTGCGCGAGTTTGCGGAATAGTTAATTTACTTACCGTTTCTGTCGTCGTTCAACGGAGGACTTTTATCTTGAGCGTGATGGATCCTGGGATCGGCCTGAGACAGCTGCCAAGCCTCGTAAGCCGTGTTAAAGGCCTGTGCCACCGTTAGCGTCACCGTTTGCGCCATTTTTCTTTTCGGACAGAGAAACGCGTGGCACTCCATGGTTTCGTTCAAATTTGTCGCGATAAACGCGAACACATGATCGTGCGTCGCGTCCGCCGAACAATAGGAGATTCTGCAAAAATGTTTAAACGTGTAGTCAAGTACATGGGACTCCGTTACAAGTGCGCGGAATAAATTTCAAGGAAGCATAACTAATCGCAGTCGAAGATTACCGGCAAGCTGTATAGCTAGATGTAAATGCAAATTATGCGTAATATGTAAATTATTTCCATGTGAGAGCATCGTGAATTTTCTCTGCTCGCGTAACAAAAGCATCGTAACGAAGGGAAGTCCGTTTAAAAGTACTTGCAGCAGGAGACGTCTCGAAGGAAAATTTCAAATAGGGAAAATTAGCCGGTACAATTGAACGTGGTAGCAGTCCCGGAGAAAAGGAAGTGGTGCACTTTTCTGATACGAGATAGGATATTGGAAATCGAAACGATGCTCTTTCGTATGAAATTTTCTGTTTCAATTGTAGTTGAATTGTGGCCGTTTATAGGAATGAAGAGTTAATTAAAGTGGTATTAACAGGGAAACTGGAGAACATGGCGCGATTAAGAAAATATTTATGTGGGTATATGTATAGCTTTAGTCGTTACCACCTTCTTTCTTTCTTTACGAACCGTGAAATTTCTCGTCACCACTTGAATGCTTTTCAAAGCACGTTATAATTACGTAAAATCAATGCAGGAATAATAATAAAAAGAAAAGAGCCCTTTTATTCGGACAAAAAGCGAACAGAGACAAAAGAAACGGTTTCTCTGTTATTTCTCAGTGGGAAATATTGGAAAGTAAAAATGGAATAAACGCAACCATAGACGGAAAAAAGCAAATGGAAATGGGTGTGCGGTTTTCCATTTCAATAGTGGATGAGCGAATATCGAAGGAGCCATACGGTAAATCATAGGTTCGGATTGACAGAGGGAATAATATTGCAGAATCGGAACACGTAACGTTTGCTCGTCGGCATTATTGCGTGAGATTTTCGAATACATTTTAGCCTGAATATCGGATATTATGTTGGCTGATGCAAGGGAAAATGTACAACAAGCCAGAACCAACAAATCCGGTTTCGTCCGATTACAACTCTCCAATCGTGACAGACGTGTGTATACGTGTTTCGCGAAACAGGAAATGTCTCGAATACGTTCATGGAACTCAGTCTCGTTTCGTACGTACCTGTATATAGACACCTGAAGCTGATCTTCTTCCGTGGCAAGATCCGTCATTCTGATACCCTTCAAGCTCACAGCCAAAGAAACTCTTTGCAGCTTCTTACCACTAGCCTTTGCCTGTGATATTAAAAAGAGGTTTGCCGTAGTAAGGATAAAAAATTTTACTCGCCTAAGTTTGATCCCTTCCAAATCGCGATAAGAACGAGCGAGGAGCATACCGATCACGTCGTACAATTATACGTATACGTGTTTCTTGTATCTGTGTAATTCAAGCTAGCAGCACAATGTGTCTCGCCAGATTGAAGCACTCGAGCAGAGTAGCTCGAGCTTTCAGAGGTAACGGAAGGAAGTAGCGTCATGGAAAACGTTTCGAGAAGTAAAATACCTTTCTTGCCATCGAAAACGTTTCACCACGATCGTTACGTCGCGACGTTAAACTTGGACGAAATGCACACGGATCTACTTTCCTTTTTCTTATTTCTCCGTAATCCGAATAAAGATAGTACAATCGAGTGTACGCTGCTGCAGCCTTTTTGCAAACTCGTTTAAAGAGATGTACGAACGGTACGGAACAATGTATACGTTTATTATCTGAATTTTACTTGTGTAAAGAAATAAAAATAATAAAAAAGGTGCCCTAATACTTGCGAACGGGGGGAGTGTTGCGTATCGAACTCGACCGAAGTGAACTGTTTGTTTGATGAAAAGCCTTTATTGGATTGTATTGTACTAAGGATACGCGGTTGAATGTAAACGAAAGAAGAAGAGTTAATTCCGTTTTGAGAAACGAAATATCTTCTCTAGCTACAGCGCGCTCGCCGTGGCATTTTACGGTAACGCAATCGTGAATCCCGGGCAGAATAAACGCCGCATTCAACGAATTAACTTGGTCGAAGATTACGCGAACTCGGCTTACTCGCGAATGTCCTGGAAAATTGGAAGGCGGTCGTGATCCTCTGTTTCTGGAATGAGCCTCCCGCAGGAGAAATACCGTGGACGGTGGAGTTGTAAATACTTTCACGTTCCATAAAACGCAAAAATCTAATTTACGCGGAACAACATCCTTGAAGATAAACGGAATTATTCGACAATGTACTTTACTGCAAGAATCAAGGTAGAAGAGGGAGTTTGTTATCGATCGCTATAAAACTCTGACGTGTTTAGTAAAAGTAGCGGAAGGAGGCTAGGGCGATCGCGAAGGAAGCACACAGATCAAAGTGTGTATACCCACCATCGTAATGACGGTCTTGATGGCTTCTGCCGTGGCCTCTTCGCTCGAGGGTGTCTCGACGAGGGTACTGCCCAAATATTTCAGGGTGAACCTAGCTTCCGATGCATCCTCGGATTCTTCCTGCGTCGTACCAGCGGAACCACCACCCTCTACGCATTCACGACTATTCGCCAGAGCCCATTCCTCGCATAGTTCTGCAAGTTAACGTCAACCATATTGAAATTCATTCCACAACGTTTACTCTCCCGCCTCGCTGCTCCGACGTTGATTGTGTCGGTGATTACGACGGCCTACCCTTTGGGCGCAAGAGAAAATAAGCGACTCAATTTTTATAGATTTCTCGCTAATTTTTCACTTTTTTACACGGGTTACTAACTTACACGGGTTCTTGGACGGAACACAGAGAGTTCATTTTGCTAAATTGAATACAGGTGCGTGATTAAAAAGAGATTACAATTAGAATAGTGCACGCGTATAAGAGAGCAAGGTGGTGTAGGTAGATGATGGATGACCGCGTAATAATTTGCGCAGCTATGCAGCTAGGGTTTCTTCTAAGTGAAGCAGCTATATGCGAACAGGTATGTAACAGCCGAGCGGAGATAAATACGACGGGTAGACGGAATGGGGGATGACTGGTGTAACATTAGTCCTGGTACGTGTAACCACGTAAACCAGTCTCGTTCTCTGACCGCGGCGTCACGTCGTGTCGGGAATAGCACGTGTGCCAATAATGGATGCCCATACGTATCGTGTGCCGTCGGTATTCTCCTTTGATGCATCTCCTATTGCTATCAGTTGACACACCTTCCACCGATTATCCGTCGATTGGTCAATTCCATCTAGCTTGGGGAATCACGGCAGTTGCCACGCACCTCGATTGTCGAGGAACTTTACGAGCAGTAGAGAGAAATCGAAATCGCTGTCGAATATTCGCGATAGTTTTGCAACGTGAACTTTTGAAATCTCCGAGAACAGCGTCCGTGTAGAAAGCGAGAAGAGATATATTATCGTGCCGTCGCGTCGTGCAATAGCGCAAACAGAGAGAGAAAAGAAACGAGCGTTCGTTGGAGAAGCTGTAAAAGTTCCGGAAGAATAGAACGCGAAGTTCTCGCTACTTGTGACATCTCCTTGCCGAAGGAAAATCGATTCCGATGTATAGTACTTTGGAGTGTTCTCAACGATGTTTGCCTACAATTCCACCGACTGGAACGAACCTTCCTTATAAATGTTACGAGGTTCCATAAAAGAAGCAACGAGCCGCGGCACAGTATATGTATAAATTTTTACCTCTCCTCGTTCTGCTCGCTCGGAATGAAAAGAAAGTTGTTGAGACGTTCGTTGACCGTGACTTGAAAAAAATGTCAACTTGTCCTGTTGTGCCGCTCACTTGAATTTAACTCGGTTCGTTCGGTAATTATGTTCTCCAATTCCGTTTTGATCCCGACGTCGTCGTTCCAATTAAGTTTCCCGCGTCTACGATCCAATTAGACAATCCGACGATTGTTTCGATGTCCAACGATACTCTTTGTTCTCGCGAACTCGCACGGAAGGACGGAACCGTCCATTGAAACAGTTCCGTGGTGTTCTCTTTAACGAAAAAGTTGCTCTTTTAACCGTCTATCTAGCCTTATCCTGTCTTATTTTCCACGAACTTTTATCTTTATTCAGATAAAGACGTAAGACGTAACTCCGATATTTTCACTTCACGAAGTTATCTCGAACGTGTAGCTAATGGTTTTGGCCTTATAATCGTTGGGTAA